GTGCCTCACGCCAGCTCTGACCCATGCGTACGCTCATTTGGAGACGTGAAACTGCGACACAGATGGTGAAGTGAGGAATTAGAGCCACACTGTGTAATGATCACTGTCAGATATTTAATTTACCTTCATAAGACTTAGATTTTTATTCAACTTTATCATCAGCTTTCTCAACAGTAATATTTATGCTTCTGCTGGTGAGCCATGAGGACCAGGACCTTTGAAATAAAAAAAAAAAAAAAAACTTAAATCTTAAATAAAAGTTCCCGTGCGCAAATCCCTTCATCTGCTTCCTCATCAGACGACCCTGACCCGCAGACCCCTCCCTGACCCACAGACCCCTCCAGAAAAGAACAGCAGGACAGCAAAAGTCACGCTTTCGATAAACGCGCAGGGCGCACCCACCTCGCCAGTGTGGATGTCATAAAACCACGTTTAAAGTCCGTGTTTGTCACGCACGCGCGCGGGGGGATGCGTGTGTGTGTGTGTGTGTGTGTGAGCGCAGGGCGGGGGTGTCTGCCGCGCATAACAGAACGTCTGTTGGCGTTCCAACACAATACAGCATCATCCAAACAGTTCTGAACTCCTGTCATCATTTTTTGAAAGGCATATGATGCTGAAACTAATACAAAAGGAGTTTGTGTAAACTAAAAACATCTTCTGTGTTGCAAAAGCAATCAGAGTGGAGAGGCAGTTGATTGTAAATTGAGATTAAATGAATCTGTCTGTAATACAGAATGTGGCAGCAGTCAGATTTGGGAACAAGTTCTCCAAAAGAGGCAGCAGGTGACAATCTATTATCACATTTTTTTTATAAAGTTCACAGACCTCAACACAAAGCCTCAAGTCTCCTTTGTGTTTTTGTATCACCAGGACTCTGATGCATTGTCTTCTAAGACAAATTTGTCTTATGGGAAACTAATAAATTATCTGATCTTATCTTATCCACTGGTTTATTGATGAAGATGAACGTAGAAAAAACTCATGGATCAGTTTAATAAGTTGCTAAACAATGTTGTGAAAACATTTCAAATTCTTGCAGAAAACCTTTCAACTGTGTATTTTATATACATTTATTTAATATGGCAGACAACAACTGATTCTAGTAAAGATTTTAAAAAAATTGGTAACTTTAACATACCATAAATTTGGTAACATAACTGGATGTTCAGGTTCTAATCAAATGGTACAACTCTGCCATCAGCTGATCTAAAACGGTTCAAACATCTATATAATCAGAAAATTATATTAAATTTTTGGATTGTCTTGCTGCTTTCAAGACATACTAATGATAAAAAATTATATATTTTAAAGTCATTTCATCAAAATATTTGATGTTTTTAACGGCCATGCCACCCTGTACACACAAGATTCTGTCTGATCTTGGAAGCTAAGCAGGGTCAGGCCTTGTTAATACTTTGTTAGGAGACTGTCTGGGATGATCAGGTGCTGTAAAACCAATGTAGGAGTTGCGCCCACATTGGAACATTTGCAAGAGACCAGATCATAGGTTGCCATCTATGAAAGATGAGTAAGTAATCAAAATATAGAGCTATGCTAGAACTGAAAATGAACTTGACTAAATCCACACACATAATGTGTTGTCAGAACCCTGTAGTGTGACACGTATTACACCAAGTGTTGCTGGACTGTTTTGTTGTAGCTTTATGCCTGCTGCTGTTTGACTCAACCATTTGTGTTTACGTGCTGATTATTTTCTTGATCAGAAAGTGTTTAGCGGTCGCTGCCACGAAAAAAGGACAATCAAGCAACCACCGGCGTCAGTTCGCACAATATGTTGTAAACTAGCAAACAGATTTTAATAACATTTCAAAAAGTAATGTGTTGATACTGTCTGAGACAACCAGAATAAAAATGACTCTAAGATATGGAGCAAGTTTCTCTTGAGAATGAGTCTTCGTGTCTTATTGAGCTTACTGCATTTTTTATTCAATACATTCATTTGAACTCTTAACGTGTAAAAGAAAAAAAAAAGAATAAAAAACATGTACACATGTATCTGCATTAAAATATTCTTTAAAATGAAATCATTTAACAATTTACCAAAATACATTCATTATTCACATATCCATGAGCCCCTGCTCCATGCTTGGCTGGTGTAAAATACAAAACGGTGTGCTCTCTTTTGGTAGACTTTATGGTTTATTTAGGATTTTTTAAACCACTATAATTTTCAAAAAATAGCTATTTTAAAGTTTTATTCTCAGTCTGTATTTATTCCAATGCAAAACAAATGATGTCCAGATTGATGTCTTTAAAAATCTAGATGAAAAGATTTAGATTATCACTTTTTATAAACTCGTATCTTCTCAGCGTGATTTCAGTGCTGTTACGCAAATCTTTCTGATTCATTGCCAGAAAAAGATGAATCCCTTTAAAATTTAGAAAAAGTTTGATTCTCCTCCACAACTGAACACTGTTGAAATAGCATTTACTTATGTGATGTTAATGAACTGAAGGAAATTTTGTGTATTATTACCATTTTTTTTCCACTTGGCTGGACCTGTACGTCTCCTGTGTTAATGTTGGTACATGTAATATGCTAATTCTGTTCTGTGGAGATCATTAAGAGTTGTTGTCGGGTGAAAAAAAATCTTTCACTAACACTGTGTTGACAGTGGACCAGAAGTGTTGGGAGTGGCATCCAGTGCTGGACCGGATGTCCATGGCATATAGGCTATTAAAATAAATTTGTCTGACAAAGCAGCAGCTCTCATTTACAGCCGTCACGTTCAGCTCGGTATATTTCTCCTCTCAGTAGGGTTGTTTACAGCACATGTGATTTCCGGTTAGCTTCTTAGCTTAGCCTCCGTCACAGCGACAACACACACATGCTTCAGCAGAGGCCACGCCTCCTGCAAGAATCACTTCTCTATGCATCAAGTCCAGACCCTCATACGAAGCAAAGTGAAGGACAGGGTCTGGTTTTAACCAGGCTACCATAACTATGAAATATACTTATACAAATATAATAAATGTAATAAATTTCGGATATCTCATTGCTAACTTCTGATCTCACCGTCTCATCATTGCCGAACTTTATTCAGCTTCTGCCTCTTTTTATTTTCATCCTCCTCTAGTTTTTTTGCCACTTGTCTAATATTTTCAGGCTTCAGTCAGAAAGGAGTTTGGGGGGTTTTATGTTTGTTCGGCGGGGTGGGGGTGACACCAGAGGGTGGAATGAGCCCTCCCCCCCATGAATCAGCTCTCTTTTGCATCCTCCTGCTGCAACATGCTTCAAATATGACGAGCATTAATAAAAACGCCATGATTTTATTAAATTAATTATATAATTTAATCACTGTATAATTATTCATTATTAATTCAGTTAGAATGAGTGGAGCACTTGTAAACTACACAAGATATGGGTATTTTTTCAGATGGCAGATCCTCCACCTTTTCACTTCCTGACCTCCAGCCGAACTTCACGCTTTCATGGTACTGCCGCGTGACCTCACGTGAAACCCTCCTATTGGTTCATTCATCTCTTAAGCTCAAACCCCAGGTTTTCTACTATTAGTTCTTTCAGTTGGACATGTTTGGCATCTACAGAAATGTCAGAATCCTGGCTAGAAGCTGGTAAAAAACATTTCTATGAACACTCAAGACAGTTAAAATTACAATCAGCTGAAGATAAAACCATGAAAGTGAAAATAAAATTTGTTAAAAAATTTGGCAAGTCAGTAACATGAAAATAATATTTGTGTTAAAACATGAGGCATAACATGTTATTCTTGTATTTTGATATTGTTTAATCATCACTACTTAGGGTTCTGCATGTTGTATTCATGATTAAATGCAGCAAAATAAACTATTTCAAAGGTAACAGATCTTTGCACTCTAAAAATGAAATGTTGGATTTACTGAACCATGTTATGTTACCTGGTTCCACATTACTGAGTTGAGTACATTCAAAGCAACATATTCATGTTCTTTGGCTAAAAAACTGGTATATTGCTTTGAATTTACTCAACTCAGTTAAGTGGAACCAGGTAACATAACATGGTTAAGTAAATCCAACATTTCGTGTTTTACAGTGTGTAATACTTGGTTTATTTACATAATGACTTTAATTGCTGGATGTTCGGCCCCTGAGCTGTTGGCCTGCAGTAATTGTGGCCCCCAGAGCAATTTAGTTGAATAGCCCTGGACTGTGTAGAATACACAACTGGAAAAAAGAAAAAAAAGTGTATAGAAAACTGTATTTTTACTGTTAAACCAGCAGACAGTTTTTACAGTGTAGGAGGGGGTTTAACTTCATATCTGTTAAGACAGGGGTGCCCAAACATTTTCCCCGAGGGGGCCAAAATGAAAATCTATCCATGGCTGCGGGCCAAATGCAGTTATATAATACACAAAATACAAATACTTTTTTAAAGTAAAGTCCTTTATTTTAACCATTAAGCTGTGCAATGGTCCTCTTTTGTTTTAGTCTGTGCACTTGCAGAAAGTCTGCCACACACTCAAATAGCAAAGGCTCATGGGACATTTCATAAATTGATAAAATATGAGTTTTTGTGGCCTTATAAAGTGTGCAAATCTACATGTGGGGTTAAATCTGATCTAAATATTTATTGTTGTCATTACATGTTTCTTGTTTAATCCTAATAAATCAAAGATATGTCATTACTATGACTGAAAACTACATTCACTACAGCCCTTTTATATAGTCATTTGACCAATGGAAATACCGTTTCTACCTATAGGATAACAGGTTACAACCTTGTAACTTTGGCAACTGTTGGTGGGCCAAATCAAATGGCTATGCCGGCCAAATTTGGCCCGCGGGCCCCACTTTGGGCTCCTCTGTGTTAATAGGAGATATTTCAGCTTCAGAGTGGGGGTGGGGTGCTCCACAGATAGTAGGGGGAGGAGAGTGGAGGTGAAAGAAAGAAAGAAAGAAAGAAAGAAAGAAAGAAAGAAAGAAAGAAAGAAAGAAAGAAAGAAAGNGAAAGAAAGAAAGAAAGAAAGAAAGAAAGAAAGAAAGAAAGAAAGAAAGAAAGAAAGAAAGAAAGAAAGAAAGAAAGAAAGAAAGAAAGAAAGAGAGTGAATCCAGCTCTCCCCTCCCCGTGACGTGTCTCGGTGTGGACCCCGGGGGTGCTCCGCTCTCCGGTCCCGTCTCAGCAGAAACACTTCACCTGCTGCCTCCCGCGCGGACGCACCCCCGGCTCCGCTCTCCGCTCCAGCTCCACCCAGCATCCTTCTCCGTCGCTTTTCTTGCCTTTTTTTTTTCTTTATCCCCCCGCTGCTCCACGCATCGGAGAACTGTTTCCACTCTGCGTTTTGAGCAAAGAGGAGACAGAAGAAGAGAGGAGCCCGCTGCTGAATAAAGGAAGGAGAGGAGGAGAGAGAGAGAGGAGAAGAGGAGAAAGCGGTCGCTGTGGTCCCTCTCCTCCCTGAAGCTCCCCGCCGAGAAGATGCTGAGGATAGCCGGCGTGCTGGCTGTGGTGGCGCTGGGCTTGAGCTCGGCTCACACCAAAGGTAGGGTCGGTGAAGGGCGGCTTGTTCCTGCTGAGGGACAAAACGTCTCTGACGCTGAAAAGTCCTCCCAGATCGCGCTGATCACAAACTGCCTTTCATGCTTTCTGGACTCTGAACTGAGCACCGACGGTATTTCAAGCTGTTTGCTTTATGTTCTGGAAGCCCAGCAAGAAACACAGAAAGAGTTTAGGTGTCACAGCCTTGTCCAGGTGTCATGTTTTAATGCTGTCTTTGCGGAGGACTGGATGGAGGAGGAAAGGCTGCACCGCTCAGGACTCCAAAGCCTTGTGCTGCTTTTCCTCTTGTTTCTGACTGATAGGTGGAGTTATGCAGGAGGAAAGTAGAGCAGATGAGCCAAAAAAGCATCTGCAAATGTGCTGCATAAGGGCTTTTTTTTTTTCCAGTAAATTGCATGCTTGCATCTTTAAGCTTTAAAGCATCAGTGGTGATAGTGTAAGTGTGTTTGGGAGCACTTGTGTTAAACTTTGAGTGTGAGCAGTAAAGGTTTGACAGGGTGATCAAATCCACCACAAACCAAGAAATATGGTGAAAATAAGGAGTCCCAGGACAGATTTCTACTTTCTACAACTATAGTGATGTATGAGTGTAATTTATTCCTCCTAAAGTTACTTTCTGAAAAGTTATTGACTGGTCCAAAAAAATAGGAATCCCATTTTACACACACACACACACACACACACACACACACACACACACACACACACACACACNCACACACACACACACACACACACACACACACACACACACACACACACACACACACACACACACACACACACACAGAATATTTCTGAATAGCCGATGTGTTTGTTTACTTACAGAACGTGTGTCAGTGATGGTGACATCCATGAAAGTTTGAGTAAAGGCACTCTGCTCTACGATATTTATTCCTAACAGTTGTCTTTACTCCTTTTTTTCTCCCCTGTTTAGCTGTAGATTCTTAGATTTCCACTTAAACCTTTCTTCTCAGGTTTTATGTCAGACTTCACCAAATTTGTTTACCTACAGAGCACCACCAGTTACGTAACTCAAAATGTCCAGGTGGTTTTTCGCAGATTCATTTGAGAGCTTTGTTTACGTTGATTGCGTACCCGAGTTTAGGAATTGCATAGAAAACTACAGAAATAGGCTCTTTTAAACTAGACCATAGGATAAAGCTCAGGATTACCTTTTTTATGTATTAATTTCATTTAACTCTCCTCCTCTTCGTACCTCTGTTACAGCTCATCCAATTTTCAAAACATGCACCAAATGTTCTCTATAATCACAGACATACAGCAGGATAACAACACCCAGATGTCACACATGCGTGCCTCACCGTTGGCACGTTCCTGCTTCACTGCTGAACTAATTTTAGCCTCCCAGCCCCCCCACGGTTGCAGTGGGACCTGTTCAGTCCTCCTGTGAGAGTGGCGTGTGCCGTGGGTACGCTGGGAAATGTGGCAACAGGTTCGCGCTAATCAACTCCCCGCGGACCCGCTGCGGCGCTCCACCACTGCGAAATAACAAGGTGACACCTGTCAGTTTCGTCTGGCAGCTGGGAGACGCTGCAGCTGTGATGAGCGGCTCCTGACACAGCAGCGAGCCTCCTCGCTGTTCGCCTCGGCGGCGTGCTCCGTGGAAGGAAAACATATGCTAATGGCCACGCTGCAGGCTGTGACCCCGGCTGGGGGGGGGGGTCAGCATTTTTGCCTCGTGCACGCTTACAAACAACAACAGGATGGCCACCTTGTGCTGCACTCAGGGGCAAACTGGTACCTGTTGGGGAACGTGAGGAATCACCGAATTTATGCAAGCAGCACGTCCTGAAATAGCAGAATATTTCATTTGATGAAGGATTTATTTATTTGCTTCTCCCATCCAGAGCTCGACTGTGAAGTAAACAAATTACTGCTGAGCCAATGGAGGTGGAAAAACCAAACGCGCCGTGGTTCTAATTGATTCCCTGGGGCCACTGTACACGGAAACAAAAATCAGGCAAAAAGAAAGAAAAGAATGACTGAATAAATTACAAGTCAGTTGTCTGCAGGTTTTACAGTATCTGCTGCTCAACTGGCCCTTCCTCAGTCCCTGTTCCAGCTGATAAAAAACACAAGTGACGTTCCTCATCTCGTCCGCCTTTCAGCTTTTAAAGAACGACTCTAACAGCAGCTTTGTGTTTTTGTGAGCCCGTTCTGCCTCAGAACACGCGAAGCTGCTCAGATAACTTTGAAGCGCCGCCGCTCCTGTAGCCATTCTAAGAAAAAGCGAATGTGAAGGTTTCTTTAATCACCCTCACCCTGGACACCCCCCCCCCCCCACACACACACACACACACACACCGCCACCTTTCAGCATGTGTTCCCCCTACCCTGAGAATGTGTTGTCAGTAATCAGAGCTTTAGCATCCCTCTCTTTGTGTGTGATAGGGTGCATCCGACACGTTGACAGGCGCCAAAGTGTGCCGGAATGGGCGAAGGAGGTGAAGTCGTTTTACAAAGGAATTATTGCATTCGCAGATACATGCAGAGGCTCAAACGATTTCCCTGGAACCAGCCGTGTCGCCGCGCGACAGGGAGAATCCTCTGGCAGCCAAGCATAAGGAGCTGTAAAGTTTTTTTTTCAGTTTTTTTCCCCTAACCAGAACTGCCCGAAGCCCTGCTTTTGTGTAATTCCAAGCAATATGAACTCTGAATTTAGATAGCTCATTACCAGCACCGTGTATTTTAATTCAGCTTCCCACTGTGGAACTCTTTGTATTTTGAACATTTTATATTTTTTGCTGCTTTATTATATCCAGACAAACACACTTTATATTTTATTCTGAGTCTAAAGCATGCAAACATCCAGGGTGCATTATTCTGCCTTTTTTTAAATTTTTTTTGGAGGAGCCCTGCTGTAGCAGCTCAGACGTCTACTCGTAAAGTTCGGGGATGGATCGAGACAGGTCCCATAATTTATCTCCGTCTATATGGGGGCATTTGTACGTGTCGTGTGACGTGCGAGCTAGCGCTTTTTGTGAGTGTGTGGATGAGATAAAGAAAGCCGGTGGGCTTTTTGAGGTTCCCATTAGCAAATAAAAAAAAGGAAGTGACAAAACAAAAAAGAAAAAAAAAAGGAAATAGAAAAAACAGGCAGATTTATGCTGCCTCTTTGTAGGGAGAAAGTGCATTATGGAAGCAGTCTATAAATCCTCCGTCGAGACGGTGGCAACGGGACGTGGCACAAATCCTGTTTGGCCTGCTGTGGCCAGGGGGATGCAGGGCTCAGGGGGGAGAGGGGGGAAAAACACAGGTTTATTTACAAAGAACTGCTTTCCTTCATCTTTGCCGAAGCCATGAACATTGTTCCATTTTAAATAAAAAAAAACAGGTTTCGTGGCTGTTGTGATAGAAAAGCAGCAGGCTTGTGATCCACACTCAGTTGTAAAACCATTAGAGATAAAAGAGAGCCAGAATAAGATTAGTTGAAGGAAACAACAAGTTTTTCCTACAAGTTCTGCAACTAGATGCAAATCACATGTCGACAGACCAACATTGTTCCTGACTGCTTAATAAATGCTGCACGTTAGCTAAGTGAGATAAAGCCTTTCTGCTTTAGAGTAGATTTGCAGACGTTGTATTTATTAGTATTCAAATAAACTTAGCACAAAACGTAAAGACAATTGTGTGTTGTGGAATAATTATTTGCTGTAACGATGCTTCCTGACAATAAATCTTATAGCGGGCCCCTGATTGGGAGCAACTGGGGGTACCAGAAGTTTGAAACAATGTCAGTAAAAAAATATGCTGTAAAGCAGAGAAGATTTGGCAATTTTTTATGCTTGCAACTAGGGCTGGGCGGTATAACCTCAAATTCATATCATGGTATAAATTGAATCCCTTCACGGTAACAATAAATATCAAGGTAGAAAATTAGCATAAAAAGCAAAGATAATGTCATTTTTAAGAGCATTTTTTTTGCAGAAAACTGTAATCACAATCAAGCCCAGCATTTTTGCTGTAGTGCAAATGAACATGACAGAAGTTTAAAAGAATGTTTTATATACGTATATTACAAAACGGTTTCAATAACAAACAAAAGCATTTCTCAAATTTTCAAAAATATTAAAATAAAGTGGATGTTATAACCAGTACTTCAAGTAAAATTTGTCATTTAGACATAAAAAATTCAATGTTGACTAAAATGTTATAATGTGACAGGACCTTAAGGGCCTTAAGTGTGCATACAGTCCTGTGATAAAACTATTTCAGATAACTAGAATGTAAGTGTGGTGAAGCCAAATAAATGTAATATCTGCCTGCCATACAATGAGCTTCTGCCTGCTGAACTTATTGGCTGCTGCTCTGCTGCTCTCATCTTCATCATCTTCATGATCAGAGCAGAAGCCGACTTTACATTAGCAAGATCAATTTATGGCTGAACGAAAGTCCACATTTTTTTTATCATCTCTGTGGGAAACTACATAAAAAACCAAGTTTTTTCCCCGACAATTTGGGTGCGAAAAAACTATGGTTGTTAATGCTTCGCTCTGCTTGATGTGCAGCGGGAGGGAGGGAGGAAATGATCCCCCGACACGACGACACAATGTAACTTTTCTGCAGCGGGAGGAGGAAATTTTGAGGATTTATTCTTTCTATACGTGTTTTAAAACACTAGAATTTCTTCATTATATTTCAAACTCCTGCTCAGTTGTCTCTGCATTCACAGCCCTGTTGACACAGGTGGGATGACGTAACTGATGACAGGACAGTAGAGGGTCAATGTCTACCATAGGCCAACTTCATACCGTTTCTACCGTCTACTGCATATTCTGCACAGCCCTACGTGCAACCCACATACTCAGCTCTACTGCTCATCCCACAAATGCATGTTCCTTACAAATTTGGCACAGTTTAAAAGGGAAATTAACAGGCTTTCCAACGATATAAGATTTATAGCCATAAAACACTGTTACAACAAAGAGACAAGATAGAATTTGATGCCAACAATAGTTG